TACAGCCCAAGCATAGAAATCTGTAAGAAAAAGGGGAACAAACCAAAGGTAACGGTAACTCTTTTTTTTATATAAATAATGAAAATCAAAAAATCCGTTCGTGTGTGGCAAGCCTCTAAGTTATATTATGTTTACCTATCTCGTTAGTTACTTTCCATTTTTATTATTTTACTCACGATTTCACTGCGTTTTAAATCCACATTGTTCCACTTAACAATTTCGCGAATGGTAAAATAATAATTATATGCAACAAGTGCATATCGAATAAAAACATTCATTTCACGCAGGTTCATGAACTCTGTACGAAGCACTAGTCGAATAAATAATTGTAAGTTTCATTCTGATGGTTGAAAGGCAGTAGGTCGTAAGCGACAAATTTCGAAAAATTTATTTTTTAGGTTAGTTTCGATCAGCAACCGATAGGGCTATAATATATAAATATTACGATATCTCAAAATTTATAAAATCGATATGTAGCTTTTAGGTCATTTTAGAGCGAAAAATGTCTCGCAAATGTCTCACATTTTATGTCTGGGTGAGGTAGTAAAGAAAGTGTTATTATGTGCTTTTAAATACGAAGTGGCCCAAAAGTCTGGAAACGGCCAATTATCTCGTAAATTGCTAGTCCAAATTGTACAAAATTTGGGGTACACCTATTTTGGGATACGGAGATTCCAGATTTGATATTTGCAATGTTGCCAGATTTTCCGTTTCTCTTATATTATTAGTCACTTTGGTTTTTCAAATTGATCACCCTATATATTAAGTCATTATTGGAATCTCCTATTCAATACAAGTTCAACCATATGCAACACTTATGATTTCATGTAGTCTAGAAGGTCTTAAATAAATAAAACAATCATGGAGAAATGTGGTAAATGCACTCTATCATCGACTAGGGTACTGTCGACTCACAAATGAAGCACATTTGATAAAGTAACCATTATGTTAAAAATGGTGTAATCTTTCAATTGTTACGTTTTAATGTAGTTGAAAATAGTTTGTATTAAAAAATTTATGAGACAATTAGGCGTTGCCAGACTTCTGTTTTATCTATTTAAGACCTTCTAGACTACATAAAATCATAAGTGTTACATAGGTGTAAAATAGGTGTACCGCAAATTTTGTACAATTAGGACTAGCAATTTACGAGATAATTGGCCGTTTCCAGACTTTTGGGCCACTCTGTATATGAAATTTCTATAGTTTGCTTATTGAGACCTGTAGGGGGAGGGTGGTTAAACTAATCATACTCTGTCGGTAATGTAGTTACCTGTAAAACTAAGAATTCAACTATTACTCTGTCGGGCTTTTTTACTCCTACTAAGAAGATAATTTACTTTAGCAATTATTATTTTCTATCTAATACGAAATTTAGCCATCCAAAATTTCAGTTCATTTTTACTGAAGAAAAAAACATGTACGTGTAGGTAAACGTTAAATATGTTCCTCAGCAGCCACTTTCAAAATTTGATCAAATTTTGATGGCGTAAAATTGCAAAATTTTGTTTTTATAAATATTTTCTCAATTTTTGAGAAAATAATTAAATCAAATTTCGGAATAGTGACTCCAGAGAAGCAGATATTTTACTTTTACCTGAAGGTACATATTTTTCATTTAATTAAAATTTTAAATAAACTATAGAAATGTTCATAGCTCTATTTTGTATTTGTTAGAAAAAGATAATAGGTACATTTTTCTCTTAATTATAATTAAAATATTGCTTTTTTATTAGTTGTTTGTACCAATTATGAAATGCCAATAAAAATGTAAAATTTCATAACAAATAATTATGAGGGGTAAAATAAAAACCATAACAGTTTTATATAATTATATTTATCAAAAATTCCCAAGAAAAATAATTAAAAAATATATCAAATAAATGGCAATACCAAAATAATAATAGATTTTCCTACAATTCACCCCCATACGAGTAAAATACCAAGCAGAGCTTTACAGTTTAATACAATTTTGTTATTGTAAAACGAACTTCAGAGTAGGGATTCGCACGATGTATCGATATTCGATTTTTTTCATCGGTGTTTTCTTTATCCGATGTTATTAGTTAACACCGATGTTTTTAAAATTTTACGTTTTTATTGGTGGTTACCTTCTGAAGACTTTTTTTGCTCTTCAATGAATGTTTTCGAAAAACATCGATGTTTAAAAAATTATTTTATTTCCGATTTTTATACAATATCGATAGTCTGTATTCGATGTATCATTTAAAAAATTGCGCATCCCCACTTCAGCGTGCCCAAGCGCCGGATGGTATGCGCGGTGAACGTGTTGGCATATTGTCCATATGATATTATTATAAACCCCCGTATTAAAAACAGGATAATGTTTTTGTGACCACCACAGTAACCTTTATAGCTTTTTTTTGAATAGGTATGAGGTACACCCCCAGAAAATGAAGGCCAAAATTTCAAATCAATATACACTTTCTCAAGGATTAAATATTTTCCATATTCTCAAATGTGTTCTGTTCATTTGCGAAATGATAGGAAGATACGTGTAAACCTTAATAATTAAACCAATCTCTATGTGACTATTGTCCTTCAATGGTACTTGTTTCTTTGCTCTATGTTCATTCTATTTTCAACGTTGTTGAAATTTGTTTTCCTAACATTTTTTTTCTTGTCCCATTTTGTTGATTGTTAGAATCAATTGAACCAAAAACAAACAAAAATTAATCCGCGCTTTCACAATTTTGTACGCAATGAATAAGTTAAATATAATATTTATTTGCTCATTTGGGCGAGCAAAAAAGGAATACCATAGCAAAAAAGAGTTTTGCGTGTCGGACAATAGACTTTAAAAATCTTTGGTTGGGCTACTTTTACTGAAAACAACGCAATTCCGGCGGAAATAGGCGCGGTGTCATTAGCAATTACGAAATTTATATACCGTGAATTTTCTGAAATGCTTCGTGATCACTGTGATCCAGAACGTGTGGGCATGTTGATGTCTATGAAGATTTTTACTTAGAGTAAATAAAAGGTTGAAAACATTGAACTCAGAACGCGAGCCCTGACTGGAAGCGGCGGCTTTTGCGCAACGATAGATATACGAGGTGTTGCGGAAATAACTCTCGTAGGTGAAAACAATGATTAGCCATTTGATAACATAAAAAGAATTGCAGTTACGCAGGCGAGCATTTTTTCAAAATATACTAATCAACAGTGGCGATCATACCTATCCCTTCGCGAAGGGGAGCATCCCGCTCATATCATATTCAGGGTGGCCAGACGAAAAAGAAACAGAGCCATTATTATAAACTGTGTATTGTAAAATGTGATACTTTATTTTAAAGTTAATTTTATTAGTAATTAGTTATTACCGATGACGTCATTACATAATACATAATGATTTTTTTTTTTGTACAATGCAGAAACTACAAATTAAAAATGTTTTAGGTTTAGATATTTATTTCATAATTTACGAATATATTGCAAAATGGTTCGAAGTTTATTATTAACACGCGATAAAAAATAGATAAAATTTTATCAATAACAGCAAACAGGATCTCCCAACTTTTTGACTCTCCCTGTAAAAAATGTGAATTTGAATCATTTAAATCGAGCCTAGTATAACGGGATATTAATTTGAAGCTTAAACCTCCCCATGCTAGGTTAAAAATAAAAATTCCATTGATATAAAATGGGTTAATTTTCGTAATTATGTAATTATGTAATTATGTAATTATGTAATTATATAATTATGTAATTATGTAATTATGTAATTATGTAATTATGTAATTATGTAATTATGTAATTATGTAATTATGTAATTATGTAATTATGTAATTATGTAATTATGTAATTATGTAATTATGTAATTATGTAATTATGTAATTATGTAATTATGTAATTATGTAATTATGTAATTATGTAATTATGTAATTATGTAATTATGTAATTATGTAATTATGTAATTATGTAATTATGTAATTATGTAATTATGTAATTATGTAATTATGTAATTATGTAATTATGTAATTATGTAATTATGTAATTATGTAATTATGTAATTATGTAATTATGTAATTATGTGATTATGTGATTATGTAATTATGTAATTATGTAATTATGTAATTATGTAATTATGTAATTATGTAATTATGTAATTATGTAATTATGTAATTATGTAATTATGTAATTATGTAATTATGTAATTATATAATTATGTAATTATGTAATTATGTAATTATGTAATTATGTAATTATGTAATTATGTAATTATGTAATTATATAATTATATAATTATATAATTATATAATTATATAATTATGTAATTATGTAATTATGTAATTATGTAATTATGTAATTATGTAATTATACAATTATGTAATTATGTAATTATGTAATTATACAATTATGTAATTATGTAATTATGTAATTATGTAATTATGTAATTATGTAATTATGTAATTATGTAGTTATGTAATTATGTAATTATGTAATTATGTAATTATGTAATTATGTAATTATGTAATTATGTAATTATGTAATTATGTAATTATGTAATTATGTAATTATGTAATTATGTAATTATGTAATTATGTAATTATGTAATTATGTAATTATGTAATTATGTAATTATGTAATTATGTAATTATGTAATTATGTAATTATGTAATTATGTAATTATGTAATTATGTAATTATGTAATTATGTAATTATGTAATTATGTAATTATGTAATTATGTAATTATGTAATTATGTAATTATGTAATTATGTAATTATGTAATTATGTAATTAATTAGGTACCGAAAATAATACTGTCAACAGAAGCTAAAAGCACATTACTTAAAGATTTTTATGTTACATAACAATGTGTTTCCCGTGGATTGCACCTACCATATGAGGAAATTTCTTGCTGAAACCCCTTTCAATTTTTGAGCATTATTTGCACTTGACCGAATCTAAAACAAAGAACAAATATTTATGATCAAAATAATTATTATATTTTAAAATAACTTATTTGTTTTCACAGGTAAAACGACTTTTAAATGAGACCGAAGAGGTTCCTGAAATAACAGCGGAGAATGATGACAGTGAAACTTTACCGACACCACAACCTACTGAGTCACAGATTCCCGAACCACCCACCAAACTTCGTCGCAGAAATGCTCCTGATCTACAAGAAGCCGCGTTATATGTTAAAGAAGCTATCAACACACTTAATACAGCTTTGCAAAAGATTGATTCCTATGAAGACGATTGTGACCTCTATGGCAAAATGTTAGCAAATAAATTGAGAAGACTGTCAGAAACCGAACGACTGCAATTCATGTATGAAATAGATGGAATGTTTATATGCCGACAATCAAATCGTATACAAGATCCGTTGTATGGTCCTTCGCCTTATCCTTCGCCTCATCCTTCGCATCATTCCGATACTTTAAATCGACCACCTTCTATTAAAAGTTGCTACTCCGAACCCATGATGTAAATAAACAAGGTGTAGTTGGTATTAGTGATGGGCATAATCGAATGATCGTCAAAATCGAATACTCGAATGATTGAAAATCAAATTTATCGAGTATTCGAATCGTATCATTCGAATGATTTATTATTTTCCATCATCATCAATGAATCAATGATTGGGTAGTTCAAGATCAACGTGTCAAAAGTTAATATATTGACAGTTAACTATTCAATCAGAACGCAATACACCAACGTCTAAAACGTCATACTACGTCAATATTTACTTTTATATATCATGCAACTGTTTTGGCTTACGGCACTGACGCGCGGCCGTCTGATTGGAGTGACTGGGTGATTCCCCGACTTGACAGAAATCTATCCAATCAGATCTTAGTACGCTAAAAGCCTAGACACAAAAACGTTGCATGTGTATCCTAATTAAGAGAAATAAGAAATTTTGACGGCCTACTCTACTCCATATTTCGACAAGTCACCTGGGCACCTATTTTCAAACTCGAGAGAAATTATTTCTCTCAAGGTTTTTATGAGAAATATCATGTAATATGTCATCGTAAAAACAGTATTTAAATGCCAGTGAGATCTCTCGAAATAAACCGAGAGAAATAGTTAGTTAGTTCTCACTGGCTTTTTTTTTTTAAATACTGTTTCCACGTTGACGTATGCCATTTCTCATGAAAATCTTGAGAGAATTGAGTACTCCCATAATTTGAAAATAGGTCCCTTGAAGTCACTATCGTTCGTTTATTATAGTTTTAGACATTTCAAATGATTCGAGTGATATTGGTATAATCGAAATAATTCGAATGATGGTAATAATCGAATATTCGAATGATTTACCATTCGAATGATCACATTACTAGTTAATATTACTTAGATGCGCAAGAGCAACCAATCGGAAAATATTTCCTAATGGTCACGGCGGGTAATTTAAATTATGGTATTTTTCCACTGCAATGTTCAGTACGTTCTGAGTGAATTCTCATTTTTTTCTTTTCCATATCGATAAAAAGGACACAAATATACTCAGTGCGTACTGTCAGTGCCAGTGAAGAACGCTATTAAATTCTTTAGTTTGTGATAATATAATTACTTATATTTACTTCCTTTTTTTATCTCATTTAGAATTAAAACGTTATATAATTTCTTTCTTTTTTTTTCTTTCTTTCTTTCTTTCTTTCTTTCTTTCTTTCTTTCTTTCTTTCTTTCTTTCTTTCTTTCTTTCTTTCTTTCTTTCTTTCTTTCTTTCTTTCTTTCTTTCTTTCTTTCTTTCTTTCTTTCTTTCTTTCTTTCTTTCTTTCTTTCTTTCTTTCTTTCTTTCTTTCTTTCTTTCTTTCTTTCTTTTCTTTCTTTCTTTCTTTCTTTCTTTCTTTCTTTCTTTCTTTCTTTCTTTCTTTCTTTCTTTCTTTCTTTCTTTCTTTCTTTCTTTCTTTCTTTCTTTCTTTCTTTCTTTCTTTCTTTCTTTCTTTCTTTCTTTCTTTCTTTCTTTCTTTCTTTCTTTCTTTCTTTCTTTCTTTCTTTCTTTCTTTCTTTCTTTCTTTCTTTCTTTCTTTCTTTCTTTCTTTCTTTCTTTCTTTCTTTCTTTCTTTCTTTCTTTCTTTCTTTCTTTCTTTCTTTCTTTCTTTCTTTCTTTCTTTCTTTCTTTCTTTCTTTCTATCTTTATTTTGTATTTTTTGAATACGGGCTTTGTCAGCAGCGTCTAGACATGAACCATACACTGTATCACAATGATCAAACAGCGATAGTATAAGTGAGTCGCATAATTTTTTTTTTTAACATCCAAAAATTGTCTTTGGGGATAAATTGCTTTTAGTGCACAATATGACAGTTTCAGTTTAGATGTGATATGGTCTTTAAATCTTAACTTATTATCAATAACTAGTCCCAAACTTTTTCCATTGCTATTAAAAGGAATGATTTCAGATTCTATTTTTAGTTGCATCTGGTTTTGTAATGCAATTCTTACAGATTCCTTACAGAATAGTAGGGCAGACGATTTAAGTGGATTTAATTTTAGAAGGTGATTGGACCAGGTTTTTGCTAAATTCTTTAAATCACTATTAATTAAATTAGAAGACTCTACTAAATTTTCATATTTAAAAGAATAGTATATTTGCGTATCATCAGCATAAAAGTGATAGTTACAATATTTTAGAGAGTATTGAAAGTTACTAGAATAAATAGTGTATAATAGTGGACCAAGAATACTGCCTTGAGGAACTCCTAGTTTTAATTTAATTTTTTGAGATTTGTTTTTGCCTATTTGTACTCTTTGATATCTATCTATCTTTCATAAAATATGGATCTTCCTTTTTTCCAGGTCAAATAAGAGAAATTCGAGACTCAGGTGCAGTGTTTAGTTGTATGGAAAAATAAGGACGTCTGTGCACTTCTTGGAAATGACCTGTTTAGAAAGACTGTCTGTGGTACAAATTTAGCGATATTATTAAAAAGATTGATCCTCGTAACCTTAAAACTAGAAATATTTATTCAGTTCCGTCAATGGCTGAATATATTGACTGAAAACTGACGATGATATTAGATATGACCGAAATAAGGTCTAGATTATTCATTTAATTTTTTTTATAATAAAATATTTTCAAATAATCTTTTTTTTATGCTATCGTCAACTCCGTGGACACCAAATCATTACCATGGTCTTACAATTTTTAATTTTCTTAAAAAAGTGCTTAAAAATAAGAAACGAGGGCCACAATGTTTCGTTATATGTTTAGAGTAAAAAAATGTTAATCTAATGTAAGATGACAATCGTCCTGTCGTTTTTCGCTTGCGAATTGTCCCGTTTGGTGGAATCATCCACTTACAGGATTGTTCAAAGCAGAAAAAAATACTTTCTTATCTGAATTTTCACTGGATTTTAGTATGATCACCCCGAAAAATCTCGAATACAATACATCATAAAATGTAAATGAGCAAACCCTAAGGGATTAACCAATAATTCTATACCTCAGTGACGGGGAACACGAAATTACTTAAATATAAAAAATAGAAAACTGTCAATATTTAGTACCCACATTTATTTTTATAAAAATAGTATACTAGGTAATAGGTTTAGGACATTTTCATAAAATTTAATAATAAATATACACACAACCAAATTTATATGATATTCTAAAAAAAAATCTTTGCAAAAACACTCATACTTCGTTTTTAGAAATACGGGGTTGGATTGAAAAAGAGGAGGAAAAACTTTTATATTTACACCTTTTCCAAAAAAAATATTATTCTTATAAAAGTTTGTATAATTTAAACAGAAGTTAAATATCACTTTACTTTAGTGAACTTATGAGAAAAATAAAAAAATTGTCGTTATTTCACTAAGGCAAAGAGATATTCAACTTTTGTTTGAATAGTTATTAGTTTTAAAATAAGCAAAAATTTTTATGAAGAATAACATTTTCTATAAACGTTGAATATTAAAAAGTTTTTCCTCATTTTTAGCCCATCCGAGTATACCCCTATGCATTTTCTTACCACGGGATTTGGTTTTTTGTTCAATTGTTACCATGACAAGTGTCTCTATGGCAAAATTAAATCATCTGTAACTTGGCAACCACGCATTTCCTCACCATGGGATTTGGTTTTTTGGTTAGTCGTTACTATGTCAAGCGTTTCCATGGCAATAGTTTTATCATAACTGATTTCGTCTAAACTTAAGTGAACATTAAATAATCTATAACTTGGCAACTATGCATTTCCTCATAACGAGATTTGGGTTTTTGTTTACTGGTTACCATGGCAACCGTTGCCATAGCAATAATTTTAACCTGATTTCGGCTAAACCAAATTTGACCTGCTTATGTTTATTTTGAAAAATATGGATGATCAATCTATTTAACTATGTATTTCATTGTCCTTTTCAAATCACCAGGGGTGTGTTTATTAACTTACTCCAGAGTAACAGGTTAACTCCATGTCGTTTATTTACTTACTCTAGATGTTTGAAGAGCCATCTAGAGTTAACTCTGAAACGTTTAAAAACTTGAAAAGTTCTATTCTCGAATTAACTCTCCTGACTCTACTATCCGAGTTTGTATTAACTCTGGCATCTGACATATTAATAATAACAAGACAAGGACGTAGTGACCTATCAATTTTGTGGTGTGGCTGTGGTTTTTTTTTTGTTACAATGGAGGAATTTGATATTGTAAACGTAAATTCTAATTCGAAAATAAATGTATTGCCTATATGAATATGGAGTAGCTAACAGCCAAAAATTGGGTTGTTACATCCACAATTGGCCTTCCCTCTAAATTATTATTAGTTAAATGAGGGCCCAAAATATTAATGATATTTTCGAATACATCTTTAGACATCCTAAAATAATTTTTGAAGTGCTGAGCTCTTAAATCATATAACACATAATTTAGAAAATCGGTTCTTTTTGCAACCTGATTCCTCGTACGCATAATAAGAATATATTCTTTATTATCTGAAGTTTCATCACTGCTATTCTGAAATTTTAAATTAAAATTGATTTATTAAATAAGATTCTACGTTTGTACTGTACACTGTATGTCGATTATAAATAGAGAATTAATAAAATAATGAATATCAAGTTACATTAAACAACTCCAACATGAAATTCCAAGCAATTAAAGCAAGCACTTTATTGTCCATTATGTCCATCGTCCATCCTAAAATTCTTTAGAGATATATATTATTTATTATTTTTGAAAGAAAAAAGAAGCTATCCACAGATCGGGATCGGTTATTTTCGTGGTTATGACATAGTTATTTGACAGTATGACAGTTGACGTTGGAGTAATATTATTAAACGCTTTTACTCATACAATTCGAGTTCATCTATATGAATCACGTGACTAAACTCTGACATAATTCTAGATTGAACTCCGAGTAAGTTTATAAACACACCTCAGGCCTACAGGGTTGCCATAATTTTGCCATATCATAACCTGTCAAAACCCACTAATAACCATTTTGTTTGGAATGCCTAATTTGTGTAAGTTAAATTTAATACACAATTATTGTTGTTTGTAAGTTAACATCTATAACTGTAAAATTTTATATTATAGAAACTTATAATAAAATAAACTACACTTCGTAAGATACATACTGTGACTAGTTTAAATAAATATTATATTTATACATGAATACATTATTTTACTTACATTATAAGCTCTAAAAAGACATTGAATTGATTTTTTCTTGTGTTTTCTTTAGTTTTACATTTGATTTTTATCCTGTTTTACAATCTGAAACGACGTAAATCTTGCTTTGATGTTTTTTGTCACTCATTTTACTTGTACTCAGGTACTTTTTTTCACATTATTTTGATTCTTTTCATCAATTTTTTAAAAATCACCTAATTTTACATTGACTTACATAGAAAATAGACTGCGCTGTCATTAGACATGCTATCTACAGTCAAT